TGCCATTATTTTTTTACCATTCTCGCATGCGCGAAAATGGTAACTCAGACCAGATTGACATTGGATGGTTCGACGGTTCGACGGTTCCACCCTTCAACGGCCATGCAGACATGCTAAGTCACCGCATGTCGCTAGATGTCGTTGTTGCGACGGCCATGCAGACATGCAGACATGTCGTTGTTGCGAGTGCACTTTTACCATTTATGCCTTGGACGTTTGTATACTTTCCATTATGGTTGCTAATTTCAAAATCATAGTTCTATTAATGTTGCATAACAAAGCTGCTGACAAAACAAACTTAATTTGTCTTGAACAAGAACTTGATTTTATTATTTGCCAAAAATGTTGATAAAGACACATAGACACAAGTCTATAATCACAGTAATCAAGGATTTTAATAAACTCCATAAATTATGTCAATGAGCATTAGCAGTGTGGATTAGTCTAGATGTTCAGATTTCCATTAGCCGGCAGTCCAGAGGGTCACACGTCCGACCAATCAAGGCGCTGCAGGCAAAGCTTATTAAAAGCCTCCTTTTCAGGCGTTCCCGGATCGGTGTTTTTGTGTGTGTGTGTGTTGGGGGGGGGGTGTATTTTCTGACCAAACGTAGATCGCACGCAATAGAAGCTCCGGCCTACATAGCTGTCCGTGGAACTATTGATATTACCTGGGTGCCTAACTTTCACCAACATGTCTTTTGTATTTTAGGAAATTAATTAATTAATGAGTGAGTGTTTAATTAACTTAAATAGGTATTGCATTGTTTGGCAAGGTATTTTCCATTGACAATTTTTAATAGATCAGGTTGATCAAATGATATAATGTAAACAATTATATATGATTAGTAAAAGATGACTTTTGAAGTTCTCTTCGAGTATTATTTTAGGGTTGAATCAGGGTCAACGACGAAAAAAAATCATGATCCGGTGATCGACATCATGCCCCCCCGCACACTTCATGTATTCAGTGTTCTAAATACCCGTCTTCAGTCTGCAATTTGCAGATAGATTTTCAAGATTTCAGGATAAAAATTACACAATCTGCAATTTGAAGAATGAAAAAAAACTATGGTCCTCACAACTTCATATTCCCTTTGTTTGACCCGCCAGGCGCCCAAATCCCGCTGCGATTCAAGCCGCGGCGGCTTCCCGAGCCATGCAAATAAACCTAGTCCTGACGCCACAGCCTCCGATTTCCACCGAGCCAGCCCCGAGCGCATGCCGACAGCGAGGGATGTGGCTCAGATTTCCGACGATTTCCTTATTTAGATCATTCGGAAGACTTCGGGTAGCAAACAAAATGGCCGCCATGCACATGATTTTATACTAGTAGCTTCGCTTCTCAACCGAAATGAGGAAGTTTAACCTCATTTGCAGACTTTAGCGGCCATGGAGTTGATTTGGGGAAGTGCTGAGACGCGATTTCGCTACGGCATATGGGATTTTGCCGCGGAGGGAGTTACGTACGCCGGCAAAAACTTGCTTCAGCGATCGGCTCCAGAAAATTTATCTTTATGCTGCCGCTCAAGTCTTCGAAGGTGGTTTAACGAAGTTTATATAAATAATAAAGCCACTTTGCGTAGATCGATCTCCGTTTTCTTGCGATGGTATGAAAATTCAAGTACAGTATATTTTCAAAACGTTTGATATTTCTTTGTTCGTTGCCACATGTTGTTTAT